GTGTAGACCGGTACGGTGACTGCCGGTTTCTGTCATGCAGACTCATCATAATTTATTTGGATTATTCTAGTACTTAGAGGTTTCTATCAGGAACGGGGGGGAGACGTTGTTATAATGATACTTTGCGTTTACAAAGAATTTCTCAGTAGAGCTCAAAGCAATTTGCAAAGGAGCTCTGTATGTTTATTCCCATTATACAGGTGAGGGAAGCTGAGGCACAGAGCAGTGAAGTGACTTACTCAAAGTTGCTCAGGAGTTGAACCAGGAATAGAAGCTAGGTCTCCTGAGCCCCAGCCCATGACACTGCTCTGTGTCCCATGCACATAATGCAGATACAAAGCACTGATCCATCAGAGGGATCCATGCAGATGGACTCAAACCCTGGTGGACTCTTAAGGATGGTAGCTGGTCTCCACGCGGACAGGTTTGTGGGGTCTGATCTTTCAGCAACCAAAATCAATGCAGTTGAGGTCTGTTAATAGCAACGTGGCAGTGACCTGATCCTACTTTGCTCCCAAGTGGATGTTGCTGTTATAGAGAGAGTCATCTAAATATATGGTATGGAAAATATTTCTAGGGGAAACCTTGCTGGTAGGAAGGTGTTGCTCTTAACAGGCATTGCTGCATACAAGTGTCTGCTATAGCAAAATTCCTGTTAGCCTCAAGGGGCAAGAAGTATTTATAATTTTTCAAGGCAGAGACTTATTTACTACTTTTACCTTTTAAACTGGTGGGGCTACAGCCTGTTTGATCTTTTCTGGAGGCTGTCAGGAGGATGGAAGAATGCCTTTATCATCTTGGTTCTGTGAAGTCTCTGAACAGTGCTGGTGCTATATAAATAGAAAGTTGTTATCTAGGTACCTGTTTGTCCTGCTTATTGGGAACAAGTTATTTCCTCATCTCCAGAGAGGGTGGCTTAGTTTGGCCCATCTCCTGGCTGGTCTAAAGAATGCGACCTTTGAATCTGTGATTTCTAATTGATGCTTCTTAGAGAAACACAATGGGTAAAAATCACTCCCATTATATCTGCTTAGGTCTGGTCTGAATTTGGTCTCAAATGAGTACCTCATATGGGGAGATGAACAGAGACTCCATAAGGTCTATTAGTTTTCTCACAGTTGTCCATCTATTTTATAGAGGAGTCACTGACAGGTACTATGAAAATTGCCGGTGGTATGAAACCTAGGATAACAAGATGGTATGAATAGACTATACTGTGAATAGAGGTATGTGAGGGTATGTCATGTTTGCAACTTCACCCTGTTAAAAAAGTCAATTGCTCCAGAGCAATTCAGCATTCCCAGGGGGCTTTTGAACCATTGTTCTGAATTGTCCGCTGCTCGATCCGTTAGCCAGAGTGACTGCTCGTTGTGTGTTCAGCACTTGCCATACATCAGGATGTCAAAGATAAGGAGGAACTGCTTCTCCCCTAGCATCTCAATAGCCATATAGGTGGTCTAGGAAAAGATTTTATTGAGCAAATCCTCCTTGCATATCCCATCCCAAGCAGAAACGTGGAACAGCAATGCAAAGAGAAAATAAAAGTCATTGCCTGGGCTGTAGAAAACAACAAAAAATACTGGAGGGGAAAAATCAGGCTCCATTTGAGAGGAAATGCAAAGGGAGACAAATGCAGGGAGGAAAAAAATACCATAAAGAAACTAAATCAAATAGGAAATTAAATTCCTTAGGGCATTAATGCCGGGACATTCACTTACTGCAGGTAACTGTGTTGCCCCGTGGCATGCGCTGAACAAGAAAAATGATCATCCACCAGGTATGCTGTGTGTACTGTAAGCATAGCCTCTACCTCATGACCATGTAGATGACTGAGAATATGCTGTCAGGTTAAGACAGGGGTGGGCAAAATGCGGCCCGCCAAGCCATTCTATCTGGCCCGTGGGGCCCCTAAGAAATTTAGAAAATTAATATTTATCTGCCCCGGGCTGTCTGTCATGTGGCCCTCGATGGCTTGCCAAAACTCAGTAAGCGGCCCTCTGCCCGAAATAATTGCCTGCCCCTGGGTTAAGATCCTGATAATCTTGCTGTCCTGAGCTGGCTGCGCTGAAGACTGGCAATGACAAATGAGAGGAATAGTATCACTGGCAGGACTCCCTTATGTGTAGATTGGGAAGTAAGGATCTTTCTTGGTGGGGGCAGCCTGGGAGACCCTACTAATATTCCCCAGGAAAGGTAAAGCAGCCTGAGGTCCCACTATGCTTGTGGAGGGTGGGGAAGGAAGGGGCCTTAAAATCTTTCCTTGGGAGGTGGAGGATCTGGGTCTGTGCATTGGTGGGGGAAGGGACATGCTCAGCAGGGGCACTATACGTGAATGGACCAGGCATGCCTCCTGTATGTCAGTCTGGGCTCTCGAATGTGCTTCTGGGCCTGGATAAACCTTGCTTTCTGACGCAACAATTTATAGGTTGTTTTTTTTACTGTCTTATGCCCACTCTATGGACTTCACTGTGTGATCCAGCGCCTCGTAATTAGCTTTAAGCAATGCTGCCTCGTAAACACAAGTGAATGATAGAGATTTTAAAAAATCTGTAATTAAAAAAACAAAATGCAAAATGCTGTGTCTGTTCCTTTGAGATCCATTGGTCCCCGGTCAGTGAGAACAACAATTCTGGTGGTTTGGACATACTTGCTCTTTTGGGAGAAAAATGTACTAGCATGTGACTGAGTCAGCAGAAAACATCACTTGGCTTTGGCTTAAGTTGCAGAAACAAGAAGATTTTGTAACAGCAACTGATGCAATGTTTTTATGTGTTCACTGCTAACACTATGCTCTGGTCTCTGCAGCAGGTTAGTGTGTGTGTGTGTATGCGTGTGCGTGCATGTCTGTTAATTTACATACGGTGACAAGACTTTATTCTCTAAGGCCCCATTAGTGTTGCCAGATTTGAAGAACGGAAATATAGCATTTCCAATATTTTCTGGTCTGTAGTATAGACCAGACCTAACCGGGCACAATAGATGTGATTTTTACCCATTGTGTACTGGAAGTTCAAAATTATAGTATTAAATGAAAATGTACTGTATGTTGCAGAAGGTGAAGCAAATGTATTTTTTTTGTCCTTTTTATAGATTATTATACTGCTGTAAATAGCAACTATTTTTATTCTTTCTTTCACAGTCACCTCAGAGCACTTTTAATATCTCAGTTGAATTTTCCTTCAGAATCAGCAGGCATGAGGGACAACACAAGGACGGTTTGAAGTTGTCTGAAGATGGAAAAGTGGCCAAATATTTCATAGATGTTAGGGCTGGAAGGGACCTTGAAGATCATTAAGTCCAGCCCCCTGCCCAGGGGCAGGAAGTCCAGCTAGGGTCAAAGGCAAGATAAGCGTCCTAACATTTCTTGAATGAGTCCAGAGTAGGTGCCTGCACCACTTCTGGAGGAAGTCTATTCCAGGCCTTGGGGGCTTGGACAGTAAAGAAATTTTTCCTTGTGTCCAGCCTAAAACGTTCTTGGAGGAGTTTGTGACCATTGGTTCTGGTTATCCCTCGGGGCACTCTGGTGAACAGACGTTCCCCCACATCCTGATGCACAACCCTGATGTACTTATAGTCAGCCACCAGGTCCCCCCTGAGCCTGTGCTTTTCTAGGCTGAAGAGTCCCATGGCTCTCAGCCTTTCTTCATAAGGCCTATTCTTTTGCCCCCATTCATCATGCATGTGGCTCTGCTCTGGACTCTCTCAAGCGTTTCGGCATCCTTCTTGAATTGCAGAGCCCAGAATTGGATGCAGTACTCCAGCTGCAGCCTCACCAAAGCTGAGTACAGCAGGAGGATGACATCCTGAGATTTACTTGAGAAGCATCTATGGATGCAAGCCAGAGTTTGGTTTGCTTTACCAGCTGCGACATCACATTGGTGGCTCATGTTCATCTTGTGGTCAATCATGACTCCCAAGTCTCTTTCAGCCATGGTGCTAGCGAGCCTATAAGCATGCTGTGGATTTTTTTTTCCCCGAGGTGGAGTACCTTGCATTTATCGGTATTAAATATTATCAGGTTTGTATCTGCCCACTTACTAAGCTTATCCAAGCTGGCCTGGATCACTAGGCTGTCCTCAGGTGTTGGCGCAATGGCCCAAAGTTTAATGTCACGGGTGAACTTAAGCAGTGCACTTCTGACACTAATGTCCACATCGTTGATAAAGATGTTAAATAGATCTAGTCCAAGGACAGAGCCTAGGGGGATGCTACTGGTCTCAGAGCGCCATAATGATTCACTACCATTGACTACTACTCTCTGGATCCGACCTCGGAGCCAGTGCCCCAGCCATCGGACTGTCATGTAGCTGAGGCCACAGTTGGCCAATTTTTCCATGAGGAGGTCATGGGACACCAGATTGAAGGCTTTTTAAAGTCCAGATATATGATGTCAATCTCTTCTCCCTTGTCCAGGTGATGCCACCTGGTCATAGAAAGATATGAGATTGGTCAGGCAAGACCTACCCACGACAAACCCATGCTGGCTGTCCCTCAGGATGTTGCCCTTAGCCAGCTTATCAAGAACGGTCACTTTGATAATTTTCTCCAGAATCTTCCTGGGGATTGAGGCCATATGAATATGCTCTTTGAAATGTGAGCACTTTTTTGGATCTTCTTGAGTTATCAAATCTTTCACGGTCACTTGTTGCACATCATCAAAAGGTCCTTGTAAGATAAACAAGCAGTCAGGCTAGCATGGGTAAGCTCGCCCCGCCCCCCGCATTATCTAATGAAGTGAGTTGGGTTCATGAAAGCTTATGCATCTCGGATTTAGTTTGTATATAAGGTGCGTCTCTACCCTGCCTTCCACCAGCTTCCGTCACCAGTGGCATGCAGGGGACTGATGTGACCAGCAACATGCCCATTTGCCTTGGACTGGATGCCTGGGTACGCTTACAGCCAGGGCAACAAAAAGCAGGGCAGGGTGGCACTTTAGAGACTAACCAGTTAGTATTTGAGGTGCCATCCTGCCCTACCTTCTGCTGGGCTATAGACTAACATGGCTAACAGCTTCATGTGGGTCAACAGAATGGCAGCCTTTGGCATGAGTCCAGACTGAGGTTTGAACTTGTACCTTGGCCATAGCAAGATGGTGTGGCTGTTCTGGTACCACACCCTCATCATACATTACACAAGAGTTGGGCTTACAGTAGAGTCATGACAATTATTGGATGCCTGGCATCACTAGGCATCGGTCCTGCCAGGAACCCTGTGCAGGAGAAACTGCCCTGACTTCACTGGGACTCTTCATCCTTTTGCCCCACACAACTCCCTGCAGGATTGTGGTATGAGATTTTTCTAAAGGCCCTCAGGCCTTATCTACATGCTGAAGCCATTCCACTTTAACTAGAGGGGTAGCTATACTAAAGAAATCCTGTTGGACTCCCATAATCAAGGCACCATATAAAATGATCTTTGCTGGTATAGCTCATGCCTAAAAGGGAAGGGCAATAAGTTATACTGTTATAAGATATAAATACAGCTGTGCTCATGCTCAGGGTTGTTCTGGTATAGCAGTTTAAGTAAAGTATTGCATCACTGACACCGTTTTTCCTGGTACAAAAGTTGTAGATGAGGCCTAAATGACTTACGAGCACAAATCTCCTCAAACTCATTCAGGCACTTTGGAAAATCTCATGTGGGTCTTGAAGGCAGAGACGGCTTGATAAATTCAGCTATTGCACTGAGTCTTAAGTCTCCTTTCAGTATGTTTTTTCTCCATATTTCTTCCATTCGTATCCTTCCCTTTTAGTTTTTTCTGCATCATCAGCATGTGGTTTTAGTTCTGATACTTATTCTCATTATGGTGTTTGTCTCTGGCCTTGGTAACTGGCTTGTCTTTTAGTTTCAGTTTGGGGTCATTATTACGTGTGATTAGTTTTGGAGCCTAATGAAGGCAATCAGACATAACTGGAGGGTACATTGACCCATGTAAATATCAGAGAGTTACAAAGGAAGTTTATCTTTAGGCTTCCTGAATAGATGCATTTGAATGCTGGATGGTTTAGGGAACTGATCATGGGATTCAAATGACACCAAATGACACTCAAGCTATCCAAGAGATAGACGTTCAGATGTGCAGCTGCCTCTTCATTTAATTCACGTAGGTTTTTGCAGCACACACAGGAGAGGGATGGTGCAAGCACCAAATGAAATATATCCAAGGTTGTGAGGAATCCCAAGGATCGCCGGCTCAGCAGTAGGGCAAACAAGTTTGTTCACTCCACTAGCTTTATTTTAAAGATTGACATCATGTTTTTCTTAGTCTTATTACTGTGGTTTGTTACCGGTTGTGTCACACTTGCATAGTTCCACATCAGCATCCAGAAGATGGTGGAAAGACCAAGATTTTCTGCTGCTCCAAGTTCATATTTTGTGACAAGGGAATGGAGACGCACCAGAAAACTACGATTCTTAATGCTTAGCAAGTTAGAGGAACCTGGCGGGGAGATCACCCTTACTTATGCCAATTTGAAGTTTTCAAAGGGACTGTCCATCAGTTGAGCATTGCTGTAGTAATGCTGGGTAAGTTGTTGCCAAATGATGCTAGCGCAGTGAGTTCTGTGGATTAATTAGCTGAATTTCTGTTAGCCAACTGTCACTAATTGTTGATGGCATGCAGGCTTGGTGAAAAGCTGAAGATTAAATAGAGGTAGCAGCTGATTTTTCTCTGCAATCATGCCTATCAATTCAACAGGGCTTGGGCAGCAGTGAGGATGTCAATATTGCCAGTGCCTTGTGCTCCCTGGCTCTTTGCTGTATCTACTTCTTCTCTTAAATTTAGGTTGGGATCCCTCTGAGGTAGAGGGCCATCTCTCTTGTTGTATATTTGTACAGGACCTTGCACAGTGGGAGTCAGATCCTTCACATATTATCACATGCAAGTTTATAAGTAACCTAATAAATAGGGGTCTACTGAAGTCAAGGAGGCGGCCGGCTGATTTTGTGGGCAGATCCTGGGGCTGAGTTTCACAGGCTGAATTTGGTGCCCCCCACATGCCTCTGATTGGCTCCAGCAGTCCTGCCCCACAGATTGCCACATGGCCTGAAACTGCAGCTTAATTACCCTGATTAAGTCCAGGGAAGCCATTAATCCATGTGGTGTTAAACGTGGATTAATGGCTTCCCCGAGCTTAATCAGGGTAGTTAAGCCATGGTTTCAGGCCATCCCCAAGCAGTAGGCTGTGCCATTTTTGGCAGGCTCATGGCAAAAACCACCCCCAAAACAACTTGCCCGCTGCCTGGGGATGGCTGGGAAGCCCTGCAGTCTTGGAGCAGGGGGGGAAGGTGGAGTAGACCTGCCCTGCTGCCCCCTTTCTCCCCATCCCCTCCGTCCTCTGCCTCCCCCTCCTGTCCGTGCTCCGAGACGGCAGGGCTTCCCAGCCTTTTCTCTGCTTGCCAGTGCATTTTTTGTTTGTTTGCTTTTGTTTTGCAGCGAGCCTACCAAAATCCTGGAGCCCGCTCAAAATCACATTTTCTGTGAAAATCGCCCAGTCACGATTTTGGTAGGTCCCTGCTAATAAAGAACGACCCTTTAGTTCTTGGTGAAGGTACCTTGGCAGGATGACTTGGAGAAACTTGTATTTTCCAGACTACCTAGATTCCCACTGTCCTCTCAGTTGCTTGGGTCTGTAATCTTCAAGCCATACCTATCTCTAGGCCCAGACATGCAGGCCACAATTAAGCTTTTCTGTTTCTATCTGCATGAGTCCTAAGTTGCAGAGCAATAAGTCCTAACTTCTTGCTCTGCCCACATATTGCTCCTTTCTATCTGTTCACCGGGTCATCTTCCTCCAGCACCAAACGCAAGCCAAGGAGGCCTTGAAGGCTTTTCCTTGTTTAACCAGTCCGATCTGGCACTTCCGCCCTCACTTTCCCAATGAAGGCAGGCTGGGCTCTGTTTTTCTCAGGCTCCTCTGCCTACTCCCCTTCTTCCCCAAATGCCTGGCCAAACTCCCTGGCTACATACATAAATCTGTCACCCTCCAGTTATTTGGTATTATCATCTCTTTTTAAACCCTTTCTCCAATTCTTGCTTCAGCTATTTCTCCTACAAACTCCACCCGTGCGACACTCGTTGGACAAGATTTTGGCTTTATGCTCAGCACGGTTTGTTTTATTGTTATCTCCCTGTCGATAACCCCTCACTCGCCTGTTTCTCTCGGTTTTATCTGTCCTGTCAGACATCTGGTTTGTGAACTCTCTGGGGTGGGGCCCGGCTCCTTTCCTCCGTGTCCGTACGATGGCTCACACAATGGGCCTCTGGTTCCCGATTGTTTTAACAGGAATAAATACTACGTTCACTTCAGAAGAGAAGCGGCGTGCACCAAGCCGTCCAGCAGAGCAGATGCCCCAGGAACCGAATGTTTAAAGGAACGTAGGAAATGACTCTTTGAGGTTTACATGATGGTGCCTATAAGGCTGCCTAAGGAAAGGGAGTCAGGCAGGCTTGTATAATTGAGAAAGCTGAACAATGAGGAGACAGGTGAACAGAGTCCAAACTCAGGCATCTCTTTACAACAGACTGCCGTTCTTCCAGGCAGAAAAGATCCCCGTCAGAGGTGTTGATGTGGCTGTCTGGGTGGTGATGTAGTACTTCTGTGTCACATTATCAGAGTCCTTTCACCTTTGCAAATGCAATCACGTTATCTTATTAGTGCAAGCCCTGCGATGACCTTTGTTCTGACTATTTGGAGGAATAAAGTTCACCAGTAAAGACTGGAAGGGCTTTTACTGGTTTCTCTTGTGGGAGGGGACCAGGCAAGCACAGTTGTGTTCGTGGTGTCCTGCAGGGAAATCACATGCTGGGCTCCTGAGAACAGAGCAAGGCACAGACCCGGCAGCTGACTGAACCTCGGCTGAGACTTCCCCTTTGGCTCACTTGCTTTTCTCCTTCCCTCGCAGCTGCGTAAATGAGTATGGAAGATTATGATTTTCTGTTCAAAATTGTTTTAATTGGCAACGCCGGCGTGGGGAAGACCTGCTTAGTCCGACGCTTCACTCAGGTAGGCTGTCACTTTCCTTAACGGGGAGCAACGTGCTTTTGGGGCAGCTGCTGTGTAAAGCCATTTGAGCAAGTAACCAGCTGCAGTAGCCGTGGCTGCGATTTTGGGCTGCACGCCAGACGTGTAGAGGTTAAGCATGTTGGCTGCATTTCCTAAAGCAGCGTGTCATTGTAATGCTTGTAGTGAGGAGCGGTAGCATAAGTAGGGGGAGGTGAGCCGGGCACCAGCTCTGGGCATCTTTAGAGGTGACACAAGAACGGTGGCTGCCACTGCTGAGGACCTGGGCACTGCCACTGCCTAGGGAGCACGACTTTCGCATTACACCTCTGCTGGGGAGGGTGGTATCATGTCTCACCACTGCTCTCTGTGTAAGGGTTACCAAGTCATACAAAACGGACCCCAATGGATGGCCTTCTCCAAAGCCCTTTAAAGCAGTTTGAAAGACCGCCACTGAGACTGAGGGGCTTTGGATCAGGCCTGGATGGGACACAGAGATGGAAGTACCCTCTTGCCGCATTTTGCCAGGGTGCCTCCCCTGTCGTCCTCCCTCCAGGTCTGGGGGGACGTGGGTCCCGTGCGATGGAAAGCTGTTGTTGCTCCTGGTAACCAATAGTACAATTGAGAAATTCAGCTGCCAAGCCAGCACTTTTCATAAACTTCACACATCCTTTGGAAATGAGATATTTGGAGTCTTTTAAAGGGTGTCTAACAATAGCTTTAAAGAACTGAAAAAAAAATAGAAGACCAAATGTGGCCTTGCAAACATTTGGTTACTTCTGTGAGCCACGTAGCTAAACTCTCGGAATAGAAATGGGTTAAGTCCCTGCCTGCCTTGCAGAAAATGAAGCAAATCCAGAAGCTCGTGGACCGGCTGACTTGTAAAATGATCCTGCCTCCAGGGTGGAGAGGGGAGTCTGTGTGATGCTTTGTATAACATGAGTTATTTTTTGGGAGGGCAGTGGCAGCTGTGTCAGCATTTGCCCTCATGATTTGGTTTTAAAAACACCTCTGGAAATCACAGGCTGGCCCTTCTCTCCCTCTGCTAGTAAGTAGCTAGGGGTGCGAGAGCTCAGCCTGAGGGGTTAAGTGCAAAATCTGCTGCTCTCCGGCTCTGGCAGTGCTACCGCGACTGCTGCGATCAGAGGCAGATGTGTCCCCACATGGACGTGACTTTGCCCAGGCCTGCAGGTCCGCACGCCAGTCATTAGGAAGCTGTTAGTATTTTATTCATTATTTGCTGTGGCTCGGGGCCCTTTGAAACCAAGCACTGCCAGAAATGTTGCAGTGGCAGGCTCTTGAGATTGCCGCAGCAAAGAGAGCGCTTGGCCCTGCGTTTGCTCTCAGACTAAAAATGTGAGGCTGTTGCCTGGGAGGAGACAGAAGCGCCTTTGACACAGCTGTGCGGTGGAGTAGGGGGACGGGGAGGCTATGATGCTGTGTGAACAGACCGTCCTGTTCCAATTGATGCTTCTGGTTCTGCTTGTCCTTACAAATTGACATGCCGGATCAATGAGCCTATCTAATCCTCTCCCAGCAGCCAGTACCACATGCTGAAGGGAAAGGTGCAAAACTTCTGTAGGGGTTTTTCCTCTTCCCCTTTCTATTTATCCCTATCATTTGCCTCCCCACCTCCCGAACCAGCTGCTTTCCATAGGAGAAGGGCTCTGTGGACAGAAAAAACACCCTGGAGCTAATTTGCACCACAGGAGATGCGGTTAGTTGTTCTGTTGCTCCACGCAATGTAAGGGCCAATATTGCTGCTGCTCCAAGCATTGGATTCCCAGTGTGGCTCGTGGGAATTTTGTGTTCAGACTCTAGTTCTCCGTTCTGTCGGGCCCAGTGCGATGGGGTGCATCTCGTGTGGTGCAGAGGACTCTCCACATTGGTTCTTTGCCTGTTCCCTGTCTGCGTGTTGGGGAGAGGAGTAGGATTAGAGAAGGGAGAGAGGGGGTGGGAAAACGTCTAGAGAGGATTCCTCATCAAGAGGAATCTGGTGTATTGTCTTTTAGTAGAATTTATCTAACCAAACTGCTTTCTTTGCAGGGGCTTTTCCCACCAGGTCAAGGAGCTACAATTGGGGTTGACTTCATGATTAAAACCGTGGAGATAAATGGTGAAAAAGTAAAGGTAGGAACATCCTGACTTCTAACTTAAGCTTTTCCTTTATTTTGTTTCTGGCTGGGTTTGGGCAAATAGTGGTATTTGTTTCTCTTTGAATCAGAGGATGGACACAACTGGCCTCTCTAACTTACAAGAGGGGGCAGCCGTATTATCTGAGAACATGTGAACTCCTGGATTGTTGAGACCTTGAATGTATCACTTAACCATGTGCCTCTGTTCACAGGAATGATAGTACTCCATGTGCTTTCCAAAGGGGTTTTGCAAAACTCAGTCCTTGTGAGATCTCAAAGTGTTCTGCAGATGTAGTAGGTGCTATGCAAGCGCATAGATTTATTTCAGTGCAGCGTCCCTTTGAATTTCGGTTAACTAGAGCGGTGACACTCTTCTCCCAGTCCTGGAAGCTTTCCTGCTATCCTCCTAAGGCAGGGGTAGAGACCGAGGCTGGTGGAGTTGTGCAGGATGGAAGCATCCCCGGGAGCACTCCCAGTCTCTGCTGAGCTGGTCAGCCTGAGAAACCAGGGGACCTTCCTGTGATGTAGTGGGTGGGAAGTGGGATTATATGTGCCTCTGATGTTTAGCAGGTTTCAGATGTTCCCTGAATTTTTGACAGTGTTGCAGTTTCTTCCATATGGATCTAAGCTCACATGGGGAAATTGATTATGTTTTATTTTGCTTTTCTCTGTTCAGCACTTTTAGTGGGTATTCAGGCTGGAAAGATTTGGCTTTCAGTGACTGGCTGGGTGCTTTGGCATTGAAAGTTAAGCACCGACGTCTGTTTAGTTAAATAAAAATTGGTGCAGTTTTCTATCAAAAGTGCTGGAAAACCTATAGGTAGGATTCCCTGTTCCCTTATAGTCCCCCCAGCTATGGGGAGAAGGGCTCAGCGTTTCAGACAAAATCAGGCTGTAGTTTGCCTAAATGAAGATTTATTCTCCAAATGTTGAGATATGGGGTATTTTTAACTCTAATAGTCTTTGTATAGTAAGAGAACATTTTTTGCCCCCAAAAGCAAAACTGTCTAAGCAGAGGGCTCATCATTCATCCCTGTTCTATAAACTGAATTACAAAAAAGTTAAGTGACTTTGCCCAAGGTCTCAAACCCCATGTACAGCAGAGCTGGGATTGGAGGTCTGGAGTTCTGACCCAGTGAACCAGCCACAAGACAATCCTCCCAGTTCTCTTAGTTTGAACAATTTGGCCTGAGGGCTGCTCTGTCGAGGGATTACAGTTCTCATAGCTCTTAGAAGAGGGGGAGTTACATGTGGCTTCTCCCCCCCCTTGCTCTCAGGCAAAGCAGCGTGTATGTGTTGCTGCCTACAGCATAGAGGTGATGGCAGGTCATCAGTGCTGCAACATGTGCATGGAGTTTGCAGAGTGTTCTGGGATCTTCACTGATGTGCTAATTATTTCTGTTAGACAGAGAGAGCACTCGTCCTCAGTAGGGCTGGAAAGCCTATTTGCTTCTACAAGGTAAATGGAAAACAAACTGAAAGCAAGATGAGAAAATCAGTTGGTGCACTTGGGGAAGGGGTCTGGGCAGCTCTTACTCATGCCACTTTCACTTCTTTGTCTGATCTTGGCTACATTAGGCGGGTAAGTAACCTTTACAGCAAGATACTTCTGAAAGCAGACATTTGAAATTCTCATGGAGAGAACTTTTCTTCCTGCTTTAATTTCCCCCTAAATATGCAAGTAACATTTCAGGCCAGGATTTTCTGCAGTGGGCACCTAAGGTTCAGCTCCTTAAGCCATACCAAGACTCTTGGGTTATGGCCTGGATTTAAGAGAATGGCTGGCTGCTCAGCTCTTAGGAAAATCAGGTGGCTTATGGATTTAGGAGCCTGACCTTAAGCAACAGTTTATATTTGGTCCACTCTCTCTTGTATGGGAGTTTCCTATATCCCTCTTCTGACTGATGAGTTGCAGGCATCTTCTCTTCCTTCTTGAGTCACCCCACACATCAGATTGCAGCTGGATGCTGACGCATTGCTGCATATAGTGGTGGTTCTCCGTTAAACCGTCAAGTGCATGTAGCAAGGAAATGTAACGTGAGCATGGACTTTGGAACCAGCGTATCTGGGTTGGGTGATTCCTCCCTTCTGCGGACTCAATCCAGGGACTGTCGCATTTGTCAGTCTCCCCATTTTTTAAGGGGGGGGGATAACACTTTAACAAGCGTGATATGAAGATTGTGTTCATGTTCCACATAGTGCTTTGGAGCTGGGAAAGGAGCAGTGTATCAGGAGCTTTTGCACTCTGGGCCAATCACACTGATGCAATCCTTTGCTTATGTGGCTTTGACACATGGGTGCAAATACGCCTGGAGGAGAGAAGCTGTGAGTAGCAGCATGCCATCGGTAAGCAGCTTAGGAGACTTGTAGGCTGAGAACGACCCAAGTGATTCCATATGGTTCAGCTGCGTCCAAAACGTTTGAGTGAATGGGTCAGTGGGAGAGAGAGGCTGACAGGGAACCAAGCCGCGGCTGGGGTTGTGTTGCATTTCAGCAGAACTACTCATTGCTTATGCTTGGCAAGGAAGACTTCCCATGTTCACCTTCTCCATTTCCACATAACAGACTGGAAGATGCGACTAAGATTCCCTCTTGTGCTGGTATGAATTGGGAGCAACTCCCATTACGTCAGTAGAGTTAACCAGTGAACAGAATGTGAGAGGAAAACTGGCACTGCAAATCTCGCAACTAATCCTGCAAATGCCATCTGGGACTCGAAGGCCAAGCTGGATTTTTTCGGCTTCCTGCACCTGCAGCGACGGCGCAGATTCTGCAGTCGGAATTGAGTTGATGATTTTGTTTTCCTCCACATGCCTGTTGAATCCAGTTTGCTTCTCCAGAGCTGTGCTTGCTGGACAGTGCTAGCAGGAATAAATGCTTGTGTTTTAGCATGGAAAGCAAATATGACTCAGACACAGAGGAGAGATGTAAAATGGACAAGGCACTCCTCTGACTATAGAGTCCTTTAAAAGCAACCAAATTGTGCTCCAGTTACATTCTAGAGTGATTCCTCCTGCACAAGTGTTACAGGCTAAGATTAGAGAGAAGCACTATTTACAGAGTAGGTTTTAGGATTAAATAGAAATGCTAGACTGGGGAAAATGTCTTTCAAGGTTTTAGGATTGCGTTCCAAAGTCTATGCAGATGGATTTGCTAATGCAAGATTTCTCTGCAAGTTGTCTCAGTCCTAAGAATAGCTATAAGAGTTCAAGGAGAGATTTCAGTATGACCAGCAAGAGAAGGAGTGTTGGATTTTCTTTATATACTTTAACTGCAGCATGTGAAGCTTTCTGTGTGATATAGGGCTAATTCTTGGCCTGCCTGTTCTTTCTTAATAATACCAAAAATATACAAATCACATACTCTCTCTACATAGAATTATTAATTACCTTAAAAGGCTACAAAAAATCAAGCTATGTGGCTAAACACCTGGAAAGTAAATGTAAACCTCAGTCCCCCAAATGTTTAAGGATGTGCTTCACCTGCCTGTAGTATTATTGAACCCAGTGAAAATGTTTGTGAGCATCTAGCTGATGCAAATGTGTGGACACTAAAAACTAAAGATATTTCCCCAAGAAATAGCATCCAGATAACTTTGTGTCTGCAATTTAAGTCAGACAACATCCTTTGACTGTACTGGGAGGATCAGAAAAGGAAAAATGGAGGTGGCTAAATAGCTTATTTTGTCAGAGATAAGCTGAACAGTGATAAAAACAGATGCATGCATTTTGTCTGAAAGGAGATTTTATCAATAGCCATAAGTTTTAGGGCTCTTTTTTCTAGTTTAAATACCCAGCTTGTGGGTTGAATCGCAGCTAAATCAAATCACAGGACCTTTTGTCCTGAAGCAATCCCTTCCAATTTCAAATTTCACCTTGTTAGAGCAGCAGAACATCACCACATCCAAAAGCCATTTTCCGTTCAGAGAGAATGCCTCTATACTGTCCTACAGAAACACAAAGCATATACTTATCAGGTAAGAGGTGTCAGCAAAAAGGAATGGAAAAATCATATCACAGAAACAAACAAAAAAGTCTGGATCCTTCCCCAGGCAGATATGGTCTATGAAGGCTCTGAGTTTTAAAGGTGACTCACCCTGCTTAGCTTTGGATCTGTGGGTAATTGCACTCATACTTCTGCATGCTAGCTAAGGGCAGGTGCAGTTCAGAGCATTAACCATGCAACCTGATAATGTGCCAACAAATCAGCCTGTGAACTGGCCACATCTAGTTTTGCAGGGGCAAAATTATATTTGTCAGACTCTTACACTAATCTCTGAAAGGCAGTAATGGGCTAAACAATGTTCTTCTCTCACAAAATCTGCTATAATTTACATATAATGGGTTGATGAACAGTTTAACTTCCATATCCCCAGTGAGCTACAAACCTATAAGATGGGTTTGCTCATATACAGAAAAAGCCAACCTATTTTAACCTTTCTACCGAAAAAAAAAAAGCCTGTAAAATGTATTGGCCACCCTATTTCAACTATCCAGATGTTTAGGTGCAATGATAAGGGCTTGGAAAAACAGAGGTGAAATAAAGAAGTTCCCTGTTGAGTTAAAATGTTAGATGCTTCATTTTAACAAACCATTGGCTGATTTTTTTTAATTAGCATACTTAACATAGGTTGCAAAAACTTCCTTAGCCTAAGTAAGGTATACAAATGATGCACAACTGTGTCATGAGGCAGCCACGCTATGGATGATTTTACGAGTTTAGAGGAATTTGAAGACCATATTCTGTCAGTAGAGTCACGAAATTTGTTGAAGATGTTGGAAGAAGTGTGTTAGATGGTCCCCTCCATGGAGAATGGATGCATTTGCACTACTTCCTTGTTTTTTTAGCTTTTTGGTGGTATTTTGGTGTAAAGCTTCCCCTTGGAAGCATAGTGTCAGCTGGAGGAATAACTTCAAACTAGTTTTAACATGGGTTTAGCTGAAGGCTGCAATGACTCATATGCAGCCGTCTTGCATAAACTTGAGTTTCCACAGGAATACCAATCTCTGTAAAAATAGTTCTGCTAGTTTTACTTACATGCTTTGTCTCCAGTTTAACACCAGTGTAGTTGAACTACAGATAAGAACCAGTTTTAATATGATGGTTCATTTCCCCAATGTAAATGTGACGGAGGTGGATCGTTTCCAGTCTTGTTCTAAATAACAAGTTGTCTGTTGTTTTAATGAGGCTGGAGATCACACTGACCATTGACTAGCGGGTACGGTTTTAAGAACTCAGCTCACAGACTGTGATTTACACGCAGAACTCACTGTAAGATTGGATCAACGTTAATTAAAAAAAAAAAAAGAAAAATCAGCTTGACCTGCTGATCAGAGGACAGTATAGTACACTTGAGCAGTATGTCTCCTTTCAGGCTCTCAAAGAGCACTGCAAACACTGCTTGCACATGACGACCTCTCTGAAGTAGCTGAGTGGATGGATGCAGAGACCAGTGAGGTGATGTTCCAAGATTGCAGAAAGGACATACGTTAAGATACGTGGATCCAAGTTCATGTCTAAAGCTGTTTGGTTATTCTTACGATTTTTATCCATGCAATTCTCTTTCGTATAATCCCTCTGCAAGTGGTTAGCTTTGTCTGGGGCTGGAGGAGATGCTTTCTCTTTGTTTTTCAGCTCTTGTCATTGCTTGCTTTATGGAGGCTGGAATTCCTTTTTTGGGAGGGAGGAAAGCACTTTCTCCCTCTAATGCCAGCATTAAAATCCCAAGTGAGCAAGGCTTCCCTCTTCTACTGCCGACTGAAATACTAAAAGTCACAAGAAAGCTTTCGGACCAGCTGCTTCCAAGGGGAATCAGCTGGAATGCCAACTGACTTTGTGCCTTGAATTTAAATCTTTAAGTGCAGAAACAGAAACAAAAATTGTCGAGGGGAGGGAGAGCCAAAGGGGATAGAAGCCAAGCGCTTTCCCAGCATTGGGTTTACTCTGAAGGCATTTAGGTCAAAGCTGAGCTGTTGCCAAGCAAGGGACGTTTTAATGCTTTTCCTCCTCCCTTCTCTTCTCTCCCCCCCCGTTGTACCCAAAGCTGCAGATCTGGGATACGGCAGGACAGGAGAGATTCCGGTCCATTACGCAGAGCTACTATCGCAGCGCGAATGCATTAATATTGACCTATGACATAACCTGTGAAGAATCCTTCCGATGTCTCCCAGAATGGCTGAGAGAAATAGAACAGTACGCCAGCAATAAGGTCATCACTGTGCTAGTGGGTAAGTGAAGACTGTGCTCGAAGCAGCTTATTTCACCAGGAGAATGAGCCACATACAGTAGGGGTTGACAGGAGTCACAGGCTGGCAAACGGAGGTGTTAGCAGAGGGATTTATTTTGATCTTACAGTACAGGAATCTAATCCCGATATGCCGTGAAGCCAATCACTGAGTGAAACTGAGGAGATGACTTCCACATCCCAGTGACTGCTCCAATATATAAAGCCTGATTGTATGAGTGGCTGGTTCTCAAAGTTCAGGCTGTTCCAAGTCAAATGGGGCAATTCAGAGAGGTGCACATAAGAACTGCCACTTACTGGATCAGACTATAGGTCCATCTTTCCCAGTATCCTGTGTTACACAGGGTAGAGAGTGGGTGCTAAAAGGGACAGTGAACTGCATATGACCAGGAGTTTCCCCCACGGTTCCTCTGCTGCAACCTCCAGCATTTAAGATCTAGGAAGTTCCAGTTCAGACGTTGTGTCCCCAACGCTCACGCTCAAGAACTACCCATACATGTTTCCTCCAAGAGTTTGTCCAGTCCCTTTTTGAATCTGGCTGGACTGTCAGCTCCCACCACATCTGGTGGCAACGAGTTCCACGCTTGAATTGCATGCTGTGCGAAAAAGAACTTCCTTTTGTTCAAAGTTACTACTTACTAGCTTCACTTTGTGACCCCTAATTCTTGTATCGTGTGAGAGAGCAAATAATAAATCCCTATATACTTTCTCTTTGCCATTTAGTATTTGGTCAGTACAGCCCAATCCAGTGACCCCAAGCCATATAACGATAGCTTCGCTTTCCCTTGTACTTCATGGATTGTGCATTGGTTATTTTATTACCATGATTTTGGCTGCAGCCACGTTAAAAATAATAGTCGAAGCCTATGGGTTTCTGGCTCAGATCTATTTTGGTAGTGGCCAATTTTTTTTTTTTTTTACTTTCCAGTGGCTTTTGGATGCCCTGAGTCCTTTTTGCAGTGGGTAGGTGTCACAGAAAGACCAGCCTGCTAGGCATTTTCTTCATGATGGCCGAGGCTGCATCATGGAGCAGACGGTGGCAGTGCAGTGCGGAGAGGCAGGTCCTGCAGCTTAGAAGAGGCCTATCCTGTGAGCTCCCATCTCCAGGGCTGCCAGGCAGCACCTGTCACCAGCACTAAAAACACAAGCTACTTGGGTTTGGGTATTTTTTTTCCCCATAGGATTTAAAATCAAATCAAAGCCCAGGCTGTGAAATAACTGTCTAAGCTTGAGATAAAGCTAGTCCAGTATGTGAGCTGTGGGGGTAAGCCATTCTTCCTACCCAGCCCGTTGACATCCGGCATGGCTAAGTTGGTTGCGGAGTCTCACGGCCCCAACATCACTTCTAGGGCATTGGTGCCAAAAATATGCAGTGAACTCTAGAGAGGTGCTGCGGGGAAAGGATCCGTCAGCTGGGCTATTGTATAACCACTCAGCAGCAGCATCTCTCCAGCTCCTCGGCACAGTTTGTTTAAAAAAAAGTAACATTTTATTTCATAATCTGGGGTGTTTGTTTAGGTTTAAAAATAACTAACGAGACACTTGGCTGAGGTTCCAGGCAGCCTGACACACACACACTAGCAATGCAAGTGCTGCTGTAACCAGCAGCCAGCTGCACTGTGTTTTAAGGGTCTGGCTCATGTGGGAACATTTGTATAAACGGTTGGTAAATGATGAATAGATGTGTTAGAGTTCAATAGGTTGTTTATAATCAGTCACCGCACCTTTTAGTGATGGCTTTATAATTGTGTATAATGTGGCAACATGCTGCTAGCTTCCAGTGATCACTTATTAACCCTTTATCACTGTACCTTTTAACAGAGAACGCGTCCAAGAAATTAGGGTGCCCTAACTGAGGGTGCAGGGGGTGGCACCACTGCAAAGGGGATTGTCAAGGAAAGGATTTTTATTTCCCCCCTCCACCTGTTTCCAAAACAACTACTTACCAAGCTAGTTCCCTGCACAAACACCGCATACAATGAAGCCTGATTCCTGGCACTTTCAGTGAAAAAAATGTTTGCCCTGGCATTTTCCAATACATGATCTGTCCTGCTGTAAGCTAAGATGAACTCCTTGAAGGGTGAGTGCACTCTCGCTTCACCTCGTTCTGTGTTTGCTAGAGCTCATTCACTCAGTCCCTGTGTAATGAATAAAACAAATATAAAAATAAAACAGGAGCAGGGCCCGCTCTGCAAAGCTTGTTTTTGAAGCTCATAATCATGTGAGAAAATACTGCATTGCTGGCCCCAACACACGGTAATTGACATTTTAAGTGCTCCTTAGAGCAAGAATGAGCAATTTTTCAATAGACGTTAACAAAGAAATCTTTTAACATTAGTTGATATTAAACGGGTGCATTAGTGCTAAATTAAAGCCAAATGGCTCACATGTTAACAGGGCCTACTCCATTAAGTGAGTTTTATTAAATGGGTTGTGGGCTTGGCTGGGTGTTTGAGAGAGTCCACGTAGGGGAGGGGGCAGTGTGCTCCATGCTGCCACTTTAAAATAACAATCGTTTGCTTAAAATGAACCTATCGCAGAGCACGGGGTAGCCAGCGCTTCCTTCCTTTGCAATCCATTTTTGGCAGTTTTGTCATGCAAGTAAAATTAATTCCCTTTCTACAATCTTTTATTGGCACAGGTAATAAAATTGACTTAGCTGATAGAAGGGAAGTCTCCCAGCAAAGAGCTGCAGAATTTTCGGAAGCCCAAGACATGTACTATCTGGAAACCTCTGCTAAAGAGTCGGATAATGTGGAAAAACTCTTCCTGGACTTGGCTTGCCGGCTGATCAACGAGGCAAGACAGAACACACTTGTAAACAATGTGGCCTCCCCGTTGCCAGGAGAGGGGAAGAGTATCAGCTATTTGACTTGCTGTAATTTTAATTAGGAGCTGCCACAAGATGCCCCCAGAATGGGCCAAGAAGATTTTTTTTTTTTTTTTTTTTTTTTTGCTGGGATTTATCTCAGTGAAGGCAATCCTTGCAACTCTGATTCATCTGACTTGCCTCTAAGTCAAGTTCCTGATCCTAAAGCATGGTAGGCTGACCACTCCGCCTGTAGGGCCACGTAGCAGAATATAATATGGTTTAATTTCTTTTGTTTTTTGCTGTCTCTGGAGTTGGTTAGGGAGGAAACTCATGCAAGGCTCTCAGTGATATGCAGTGAGCGAGTTGCTACGTCACTTCTGAAGATGACTGGAACACCCTGGCGATGGTATTGAAGAGTGGGATGTGGGATCTCTCCTGCATTACAATGCTTTATACCACATCCGGTCCTCTTATTTTAAAGCTGATGACCGTTAACTCTTAGACTATACTAGCATCCTTCTGGGCTGCCAGCCAGATGAATGCATAGGACGTGTATATAGAATATGTCCAGAGCATCCTGATGCAGGACTCAACGGTATGTTTTGAAATAGTGTTACATCTCTCATCTGCGGACATTTTTGTGAACGTGAACTTGGAATTAAAAATATATGTACCGGCATTTCCAAACGAACAGCTCTTTGGAAAGGAAGATGTGGATACAGGCTGACACACCCCTTTTGGTGCTAGCAGTTCAGTTGAATATACCATAGACCAGATATAGTTTTATTACATTGCTGTCCTCTGAATGTGTAACTTAGAGTAATTAGCAGAAGTACACTAATAAGCACTGTTCATAAAATATCGTTACCTCTTTTTTTCTAGGCCTGAGCATAGTGGGTAAGGGCTATGCTTCTTTGATGTCAAATGTAAGGTGAGAAGACTGCTGAAGTAAAAAAAAAAAAGAAAAAGAAAAAAGCTCTGTAACCAGTAATGTCCTAATGTACTGAATTAGTTTTGGGAAGACTTAGCGATGGAGTTAAACAAAAACAAACCCAGATCATATATGACCAAAATACTGTGCTTGCATTGATCACATAGAAGTGTTCAAAGAGAGAGCACAGTTTGAAATGGCAACCCACAATGCATTTGAGGAACAAAAGTCTGTAGCTACAGTTCTTGCTGAGAAGGTGGTGTACAATTTTTGTAGGGTTTTTTAAGCTTAATGACAACAAATGGCAAGTGTTATTATTTTGTGTCTTACTCATGCAGCAGCCATTTTATGGACCTCGGAAAAGCAACTCAAGGTATCTTTTTGGCACCTGCTCTCTATTATATAGTAGTTTTCAGATTCAGAACCGTCAAGTCATTTAATTTTCTTGTTTTGTATCCTTATGTCTCAGACTCTGATGTGTGTAACTGTTTGCTTAGTCCATTTCTTTGTATGGAAACTTCAACGTTGGAAGCATTATGGATTTTTGTCCTATTGCTCCTCTAGTGCCATGTTTTAATAATATGCATTGGATCTTGCATTTAAGCAAAATTGAGCGAGAAGTTGGACACACACACGGACTATCATTTTTAAATGTTTGGCGTCAGTTCTGTTAATCTGAATAGAAAACTCTTGGTAACTATGTGGCTGTGATATGTTGTAATTTAGCATTAATCAGCTCGATTATCATTTACTAAAGATGATGACTGGGCTTTTGTATTGATATATAAAAGCTGCCAATGAGTGAATCTTGAGAATAAAAATAGTGTTTTAAAATACTTTCTCACGTTTTCCTGAACAGATTATTTAGGGTTTATCATATTGTGCCTTTGATCTTTAAAAGTATCTCTGTAAGTATCAAGGGCATAATATATTCATTTCATAATCCATGTGTTCTTGCTATAATATGGACCATTTTTCCCCCTTACACTGTAATCCCAGGGGATTTAAAAATGTATTTGCCTTGGCTTTTTGGCTGGGCTTGGTCATACAGCAAAGCCTGCACTGAGATACCTTTTTTATCCTCCTTAGAATACCCTCAAAAGGCCATTGCCCTGATTGTCCGCTTCAAGACCATCCAACTCCCAAACAATTGACTTTTGCATGTCTTTTTTGGTGATTGCTTAAAGCAAGTTTCACTGTATGTGCCATGTGATATAATGCCATCCAACTCAAGTATTGTATGTATTTTTTTTAATTCTTCCTCTCCAGCAACTGGCCTTTTTGAAATAGCATGGAAGGGGGACTTGAGCGAGGTGCTAGGAAGACTGGGGAAGTGGAATAGGTGTCTCATGGGGCTTGTTTTTCCTCTCCTTGCGTCCAAGGATAAAAGCTCCTCTAGTATTTTCACTAATGCTGTCTTTTAAATTGCACTGGACTAACTAGTCTGTTACCAGACCAGTCTGTGTTGTGCAGTGTAGAGAAGAAAAGAAATGCTTTCACTTCCTATACTGGACACAGTCTGACAAAGTAAATCCCACAGTCCCTGCTGGGTGTACACAAAGCCTATTTAGATCAGTTCTGCAAGGGGAACCATTTGCTTTTTCTGTAAGTGTGTTTTTAAAAGACTGTAAATTTTAAGGAAAGAATTTCACGGTGGCACTGGGAAACAGAGTCGATTGAGCGAGGAGCTGGGAACAAATTAGCTCTTTCCATGGGTGTTTCTTAGCAGTCAGCATTGCTATTTTCTTAAATATTCAATCTGAATTTTCTAATAAGTTGACCCTTCCTCTCCTCTTTTGCTTATTTCCCCCCTTGATTTCAGATGCTGTCTATGGATTGCCAAGTGTCAGGTCCTTTTGCCATTCCTGAAGCTTCTTATTAGAAAAGCTCAATAGTTAGACCATGATGGTGTCTTTCCTAATGGACCACACTATTTTAATTGAACTAATAGGGCATGTAAGTCCATAAGGGTAGGGTAGCAAATCTCAAATTATTCCCTCCTTAGTTCATTCTGGCCCCAGACACTTTAAGAGCCTTGCTTGAGTGAAAGGCTTATTTACAATGTGTTAGGAGCTGAACACAAACGACGCTGCCACATTCACCATTTTTACGAGGTGGGAAACCAAGAACGTCCCCTCCCCCCCTTTTATAGGTAGCAGACCTGCAGATGCATCTCTGATCGCTTTGAGTTTAATAAACAGTATTTTGTTGCAGTAACTCATTGGCAGATTTATTCCTCTCGTAAATCTTCATTTGTCTTGTTTTTATAACCCACTCAGCCCTATGCTATGTGAGCACTTCTTGCCATTTCCCACGTTTGTCCTTTCGGGGAAGGTCCACCTCCAGCAAAAGGGTATATCAGCAGTGCCTACGCGTGACTTCATGTTGTGGCAAGTTTCGTCACAAAAAATAAAAATCTCTCCTCAGTTTTGCCCCATTGGTTTAAGGCAATGAGTAGCTCTAAGAAGAAGCCAATATGGTCGTTCAACACGTCGAATGCCAGCAAGATTAACATAGTGGGGAGCGGTTAAGACATCTGACTAGGAATCAGACCATCTCAAATCTATCCTGAGTTCAGTCACTGAGTGATGTTGGACAGACAGCTTCATTTCTTTGTCTCAGGTCTCCATTTATAAAATGGTCTCCAGGGCTTCCTATCATGCATGTAGGTTGCAAGCTCTTTGGCACAGACACTGGTTGCTTATTGTTCCTATCCGTTTCCACAGTGTCTCATACGATGGCTCATGTCTCATCTCTTTGTGGGCTGGGGCTGCGAAACGCCTGGATTCTTTCCTGGAGAAGGACAGGGTGAAGGGTTGCAATAGGAAAAGCAGAATGATGAAAATTTTCAAAAGAGCAGGGTAATGCATGGCCTTCCCGCTCCTGTAATTGTTGTTCTGAGTTAAGCCATGGGCTCGTCATGTGAATACACTGTTTTACATGCTTGCGATGAATGCTAAGTGGCTTTGTGATCGCCATCCTGTTAAAATCCTACATGGTGAATTATTAGCTGACACGATGCTTGGTTCTGGGCTATCAGATACCTGAAGTGACTCTCTAAATGTGTTGAGCTGTCTGTACTGCTGTAGAAACAGCCATCACTATACCAGTTACACTTGGCTCCTGCTAGTCTGGGTTTAGTGGCTAATCGCTATTGAATTTCTCCAGCATCCGTAAGAGCGACTGCAGACTCATGTCCTGGCTGCAGACGGTGGTTGGAAATGATAGAAAGCAGTGATTAGTGATGCAGCGCACTGGGGACGAAGGTCCATCCCGAGCTTTCGCTGATGAGGCTTGCAGTTTGTTTATAGCCAAAACTATCGTTTTTTTGTCTGGTTTGTAGAAGTCACTTCCCATCCCCAAGGACTAATGCTTGTTCAACTCCTTTTCATGCTGAATGGAGAGGGCAAGTGGAAAAATTGGACATCAATCATAACGAGACGTTGGCCTGGCAGAACTGGCTTGCTCAAGAGAACAAACTCAGTTTGAAACCAGGCGTCGATGGCAAAAGCACCAAAGTGCTGAACGCAGTCAGAAGGCCAGGTAGCCACGGCAAGCGTGCGGTATCTCACTGACTGTTTGTCTTCAGGGGAACTGTGGCACCTTCACAAATGGGTCTGCACATAGCAGAGGTGGCCAAAGAAAAGCTAATTTAGTCTGTCTGCCCAGCAAGCTGTAACTGCTTTGCTCTTGATAACATGTCCTACTGAATGTTACAGCCCTTTTGTGACAGAAGAAAACAGTAAGGGCCAGATTATATTCCACTTCTTAGGCACCTAAGGATGATCCTGTTCCACTCTGCGTGAGTCCTTGAAAACCTGTTAATATAAAAGTGGGGTGGGTGGTCCTCCTCCTCACTGCTTTGTTGCGACTCAGTCCTCCGGATGAGACTTCAACCTGTTACAGAAGCGGATGCACTAATGGCCGTTCAGGGACTGACGCTTAGGGGTGGAAGTCCACTTACATGCTCAATAGGTGGGATAGGACCTGGCCTGGTTTATAATGAGCTAAAAATGGACGATGCAACGTGGTGCGCTCCTTCTAGAAGGAACAGTTCTTTAGTGTTCAGTCCTGTCCTCTTAAATATATATTTCTCTTTCTAAATCCAGTTGCTCTTTGCTTGACTCATGATTCGCATTGGACTTGGTTGTTTGTGCGTGTGCCTTGACTGTGCTGCTTTAAGTACAAAGCTGGCTGGCTACCTGTCAAATCTACCCAGCAAGCAACACAGAGTTGTTCTTGTACAATGCAAAAGAGAACTGGCAGGGCAACCCACACAAACGGCTAAATTGGGTCAATTAGGGCCTGATTCGGAGCTCGCTGAAGTTGGCAGAAACCTCTTGTTGACTTCATTGGATTTTATCCCTTTCCTTTAGGAGCAGAAGGATGTTGCATCAAACATGCTGTTTAATTTTGTTTTTGGAATACAAGGCAAATACAGTTCTTAAATCTGCTCTCTAGTTTCTTAGCTCAGGTACCTCTTCCTTAGAGCAAGATTATTGTTGCTATGGTTCGTTTCTGCTAGGCACAGCTCCGTAATGTAATAGCAGAGGATAATCAACGTGGAAGGGTAGACTTGCTTTTCTGATTTGGATGGCTGGGGGGAGATCACTCCATCCCGATTTGTAGGAATGAGCAGCATGTACTAAGTGGCGCTCCTCCTGTTAAAGCTGGTCAAGTTATCAGCCACTTGAACAGCAGCTGTATGCACTGCGTTGTGTATTTGTCTTTGTCTGCCTATTGGATCTACGTGAGGCACTGTACTGATGTAATCACATTGATATTGTTCCACCACTGCTGGTTCCCCTCATCCAGGCAAGCCTCAACTTGACTAAAAAGGAACATTATGCCATGTGAGCCAAGTATGAAAAAGGTGGAAGCTGTGGATTTAAAACTCTTCTTGTGCAGCATTAAGAAACACAGATTTCCCTTTGCAAATACAGCACTTGCTTGGCATCCCTTTCTGTACTTGCTATTAAATGACAAGCTATTAAAAACCTCTCCACACTCCAGATGCAACTGGAAACCAATCAGTCACATTGGTTCCAAAGACTCCCTTTTCCAGCAAGTTGAGGAGATAAAGTGGCGTTCTGTTTAGGCAGACAAGGCTCTTTGGGTCAATCTGATAC